CTCTTCCATTTTCATTATTCCAGTCAAATGATCTCTTCTAAGGACTGTCTCAATATGTTGACTTTCTCAACATCATCAACTACTTAGTCCAAGGAAGCATTCCCAAGATCCACTGGAAATCCATGAAAGTATCTTTCCAGGACTGATGTTTCAAGTATTTAAGTGAGCTTCCTCCCACATCTCTTATTAAATAAACTATCTACCTTATAATTTGATTAACTATGACATCTGACTAAAATTTTCAATCTAATGCATAAAAATCAAGACAATTTCCTAAAATAATGCATAAATTCAACAAAACGATTGTTGTCCAAAGTAAAAGTATCTTCTCCTTTATCAAAATTGATCTTGCCTCAACTCTAACCTGATGCTTCTGATTTAATTTTTATTATAAAAATAATAAATTCTTCTTAAAGGAAACCTTACATTTACAAACTATTTGAGGAAATTAAAATCATTTTTAGAGCTACCACCTTAAACAGATGATGGGTGCTATTAATCTACTATTAAACTTGGGTACATCTTATTCCTTAAACCCATGTTAACTTAAGGTGACAATCCCTTCAGCTATCTTCCTAAGCATAGCACACATAGAAATAGGTGTATTTTAAACATGGCCAAATCTGTGATGTACGAATAGTTTGATATCCAGTATTTTAACTCAAAGACCTATTGTCACCATATCCTATTGTAATTTGTCATAAGTAAAATTATAATGGTGGCATAATGGTCCATTATGCAATTTTCCTCTACTACTGTATGTTTTGCTAATATCCAACTTCTCATAATAATAAATGATGCTTTAATTAGTATTTTTTTGTACTTAAAGTTTTATACTCCTGCCTAAAAAATTTCAACATTGCCCTATTCCTTTTGTGATGTCTTCTATTGGTTTTAGAAAGAGAAAGTGCTTCCCCATCCAAAGATCAGAATTTAGTTTCTTCTCTCTGCTGCTTTTTTTTTTTTTTTTTACTTAGTTCTTTATCTGTGGACTACATTTTCATATACTGTTAAAGATTCCAAACTTATTTGTCGCATGTTCAAGTTTTAGCCAAAACTAGAGTAAGTTATCTGCCCAACATTTTCAAATGCACATTTATATTTTTAAAGAAAATACATGCCTCATATTTTTGGCTTTCCACTAAGTCTCTGAAAGCCTTCAGGACTGACAAAATCACCAGAGCTTTGATTATCAGCA